TGTAAGTGAAACACTTCACATTTATCAACAAGAAAAATAGCCCCTTCCTGAGCAGGTAAAATCCAGATATAAATAAATTTATACTGTCTCTGCTGATGGATATGAGCTTGCAGCTGGCACTTCAGTTATTTTAGACTCCTTTGAAAATTCAAGCCCTGAAATCACATCTACCCCAATCTCCCCCGTTTCTTCCAAAAATCTGTTTTTCTTCTTAGCAGAGAAAACACTGAATTTTCAACAGGATGGGTTCAACACAGTCTTTCCCTTCTATCAATGCCTAAGACTCACCCTGGACGTGGTCTACACCTTGGAGTATCCCTTTCTCTACTGCCTGGGAGGTTTGTGGCAGCATCCAGCCAAGGATGTACAGCTTACTCCATCAGCATGCTCTGCTCTCCCCCAGAGCAAGCAAACATTTTCTCTCTATTCCCTGTGAAGAAGGTCGAGTGCTGTGGCAATGGAAATTTCCTTGAGCTTCAAATTGCTATGAAGGGTTCTGCTGTAATGACTGTGCAGCAATGTACTGTCAGATTTTAGGAATATGTTTATAATTAGTGCCTAACTTAGAGAATCAAAGACCATGATGTGTACCTTTTCCCCTTCCAATCTGTTTTGTCTAGTTAAATCAGATTTAAAGTTTCTCAGGGCAATAGTTGTCCTTCACTCTGTGCAGACATGTACCTCAGAAAATGAGTCTTCATCTGCCACATTTAAACACTAGCCCAGCACAGCCAGTGAGTCACGAGAAACAATTTAAGTACAAATAAGCACTGAAACATGAGATGGGTGCTGTTGGAAAGCCTTGAGGTTTATGTGTCCACCACATTGGTCAGCCAAAGATTGAAGGCCATTTTTCCCCAAAGGGCTGAGAAAGGAAAAAGGGAAAGTATTGTGTTCTTGTCCTGTCCTTAGACTTTCCCAGACATCTACTTATGGCCAGTACTGGAGACATATTTGACCAAATGGACTTCTAGTCAGATGCAGGGCCACAGTGGTAAAGTGTTTTGCCACTTTACAGCCTTCCTATAAACAATATCATTTACAATGTAAGTCATAAATGAGAAAAAACTATTCAGACTTAGTTTCTTCTGTCATTATAGCTTGGCTCATAACTCGTCTCCATTGTTTTAAGGAATATAAAGCCACAGGCTGCATCAAGGCCCCTGACCTACAAACAGAAGAAACCCCAACTCTACCACTCTTGTATTTGATCTCCTCCAGCCTATAAAGGCTGAAACTGCACATAATGCCTAATAGGAAAAAACCTCAAACCACCACAGAATAGAGCAAATTCACTCTTAATAAACAGGCCTTCACACGACTATTCTGTTAATTTTATTCTAGTGCTTACATGCCAAGGTATGGCACGACATGTGTGATCTACGTTAATTTAGAATTAAAAATGTACCTTAAAAAAAGAAATTAAATCAAAAGATTGAAAGGGAGCATAGAAATGAATATTTAACTAAAGCAGCTGGCAATTGCTATCTCTTCTCCCTTGAGTTTTAGATTTTTTTTCCATTACTTAACTGGATTTCCACCGCTCATGCATATGCTTTTTTTTCTACATGACATGACATTGGAATGTTATTGCCTGACAAAGCAAGAAATTTTGAAGCCAACTTCTGTTCTGTACAGCGAGGAATTGCTGAATTTTCCCCCTTTTTGTGAGGTATAAAGGAATGTAATATAAAACCTGTGTTCAGAACCATTGCTGAAACTACACTATTGCATGAATGAACTATGAGAATAAGTCTATCATTTATTTTGTTAGGACTTCCACAAGAAAATAATTTCATCCTTTTAAATCACCATGCTGTTTAGTATTTCAGTATTATTTCTATTTTCCATTTTTCAACCTCCAGAACTGTAAGGCATCACTGATGTGCCATGTGGTAGGTCAAAGGTGACCATTTTGAACATAAGATCTTCACAAGGAACTGCAGTTCCCGTTTGAAACCTGCTGGCTCACAGCAGTAAGCTACAAGTTTCCGCAGTTCACAGAGGTAATACAGCCTCTTCCTGCAGCAGCTGCACCAGATAGAAATAACAGACTGATGGCTGAAGAGGAGAAAGAAAAAACTGGGAACTTCTTCTTTTCTTTATGTCATGTCAGCGGCATGCTGTGCACTTGGCAGGGTGGCCAGGAAGCTCAGTCCGGCACCTTCTGCACCGGTGAGGCAGTGTCAGGTGTCACAAAGCAAAGTCACCATCAGCCACAAGTGTGGCCACAGCAGTGACATGGGACAGCGAAGCACTGGAAATTCCAGCAAACTGGAAATTTCTTCAAAATAGGCAAAAAGCTCCTGGTGGCCAAAAGCCAATAAAACAGCTCTGCTCCATCTAGTCATAAAGCCTCTGGCACAAGGATAGCAGGAACAGTGATACTTCTGTTCCTAAATGCCAAGGAAAAAAACCCCATATGAGGCTGTATGAAGCACGATTCAGGGGATAACAACAGAGCCAGTACAAGGCACTGAGGGTACGAGCACTGTCTGTTCAAGAAGCTGAGCTTTCTGTGACATATGTCAATAAAACAATGTTCCTTTGTATCAGAACAGCAGTCCATCTAGTTCAGCGTCCTACCACCAGGATACTGCCTTTGAAGTACCTGAAAAAAACCCTTCAGCAAGTGAATACACAACCCAATCTGTTTTTGTACTCATACTACACCCAGAAGTTATCTTCTGAATAAAGGAAGAGATTAATTATTATTCCCAGTAAGTCTAATAGAATTTGCTATGGAGTAGCAATTAAAAGGATGAGAAACATGATCTCAGTATTTATCAATACATTTTTGTACTAGCAAACACTTCAGCAGCTGCTTTGAAAGCATTTCTTCTGAAAATTCCTCTGAAGTGGCAAGTGGTATTAACTCAGCATTTTAAAATTTTCCAAATACTCCTGTGAACTGTATACTGTGACACTTCAACTAATGACACCAAATTAACAACTTCAAAGTTTTAAATTAAAGAACTAAAGACAGCCACTGATGTCTAAATGTGCTGAGATAAAATTAAATCTGTAATTTACAGCCAAATTCTCCAAAGATGCACTGTCACAAAATTAATGTGGAACTGTAGGACAGGGAAAAATATGTTATCAGATATTAATGATAAACTCAGCCAAGGCTGAGATCAGCAAAATTTTGGGAGAATTATATGTAGTATAGTTATCATCATATATTTGTGAGATCTTGGCTTAACCAGCTATTGCAGGATGAAAAGAATTACATTTTTATGTGCCTTTCCTGAGTGACAAACACAAGGTTTTCAGTAGGAATTAACTTCCCATACAGAATGGGGCCAAACAGTTGTAAATAACTAAAATAGTTAAGATTTTCTCATTATCTTAATGGATCAGGCTGCCAGCACCAGCCAGACTTTGAAGTCTATTTACCTAGCTGCACCTGTATATTCCTTGGAGTGTCTCAAAAAAGATCTTTGGACTCTGCATTTTTGGGCAACTACAGCTCTTCATGTATGAAGGAGCACATTTCTATAACTTCATAACCATTCCATTTCTTTAGATGGGAACTTCTTTATATTGTTGCAATTCCTTAATATTTTCATAATATGTTAGTCCAGAAGTATCAGAACACCTTTTTGCATGCTTTTATTTCTTTGCAATTCATTTTTTAAAAAAACGTAGAGAGAAAAAACACCCCATAAAACTTGTTTCCCATTTTTATTCTTTACAACTGGCCCAATAAAGCACTTAAAAAAATATATAATGATTTTAATGGGCAAGTGCATTTCACTTGTGATTTTCAATCACAATTGTAAATTTGGTTCCTACTCCAGCCCCCACTAAAATCCACAGTGATGTTGACATTGGCCTCAATAAAGTCACAATTTGATCCTCTAGAAGCTCACAGGTGTTTCCAAGCAGAGGTATGAAGAAATATGGGCAGGTATGTGCATGTTTGTGAGAGCAACAGAGAGGCCACACCTCTATCTTGTATTCCAAAACTATGTACTCAAGTAGTTTCTTCAAATAACATGAGGGCTTGGCTCAAAGGGGCTTTGTTGACTGCTAAAGAATTAACAAAATGAACTCTTCAAAATGTGCAGCAGTACTAGACTGTTGAACTAAACTTATTTTCTGAAAAAAGACACTTTCTGCCAGCAGTTAATTGAAAAAAAAGTATCTTATTGCAATGAATCCTTCTGAAGGAGGTCTGAGTATATTCAGAGGCACAAACATTTGCAAGGTGATACTGACTAAGCTACTACAGCAAAACATTGGCTGGCTTCATCATGGAGATTCAGCTCTGCTTCTCAGTAAATGACCTACAGTGGTATGGGTCGGTTTTCTGATTTTTATGGGCTCCTTCTTATCTTGAAGAAATGGTGCGAGGCACAGGTTAGACCAGAAAGCAAGCAGAGCATTCAGTAGGAGAGAACATTGTTTAAAACTACAGCACCATAACAGGCTTTACTGGCACGGGATTTTTATTTCTTTTCTATTATTATTATTATTTTCACTGTGCAAGCAAGAGCATTCCTGTTACAAGGCGAAATTAGTTAACAGAGCAAGATCATACAGCATAGTAGGGGAGCCCTGCTGTTCCTTGCAGAAAGAACGTCAGAAGTGAAAGGAGGAGGTATTAAATGCAATTCCCTGCTGCTCGCTCTCTTAAGGCACCGGCAGCTCTCCACTGGAGGCCTGCTAGCTGCAATCAAAGTTTGCCCTGCGAGACCTTCTCCACCACAAAGCCATAAGCACCAGCAACACACCAGACTACAAAGCTCTCACTAAATTTTAGCACAGTCCTGGAAGCCTTACGTGAAGGAGGATCCTCAGTTCTGCTATTCCCACAGGATTTCACAGGCACTGGAAGTGGGAAGGGACCTCTGGAGGTTATTTGGCCCAGCCCCCTGCTCAAGCAAGGCCACCCAGAGCTGGAGCCCAGAGCCGTGTCCGGGCGGCTTTGGAATGTCTCCTGGGAGGAGGGACAGCTCACCGGGCAACCTGTGCCGGTGCTCGGTCAGCCTCACAAGGGCAGGGATTCCCGGAGTCCAGGGAGTGCCCGCTGAGTCCCCGTGGTGCCCATGGTCCCTGGTGTCTCTGGCACCCCTTGGAATGGCTCTGCTCCTGGCTACTCTGCCCGGGGAGCAGCGCTACCTCGCAGGCCGAGAGAGACAGGGGACGAGGGAAGGAGGAGGAAGCCCGGCGAGGTGCCGCGGCCCCATCCATCCATCCATCCATCCATCCATCCATCCATCCATCCATCCATCCATCCATCCATCCATCCATCCATCCATCCATCCATCCACCCATCCTCCCCTTCCTCTCGGGGCCGTTCCCGAGGGCCTGGCTCCCCTCCCTGAGCAGCAGCAGCAGCAGCGGCGGCAGCGTTGGCGGGGGCACTCCGGAGCCGCTCCGGGCGCTGCTATTTTTAGCTCAGCCGGGCTATTTTTAGAGGCGAGCGCGGGTCTGGCTCGGCAGCCGGGGCTGGCGAAGCGTGCGCGGCCCCGCAGCGCTGGCGCACGGGGGAAGGACACCCAGGGAAGGCTCCGCTGGGAACATCAAACATCCAGGGCTCCAGCGCCTCAGCCCCTCCGGCCGGCTCCGGGAGGGGCAGCTGCACCAAAAATGTGAGGTGTAAGCAAAGCCAGGGTGCCCAGAAGCGCAATTCTGGCGGTCAGCAGGCCCTGTGAGGGCTGTGCCTCAGTGCCTCCCTGAACTGGGCATCTCTTTGACGGTGGCACAAATATAAAGCATGCCTGAAAGCGGAAATGCTCCCCACACGTTTGATGTTCAGCGTGATGTTAAAGATGTAAAGAGCTATTGATTGACTTGAACACTTGAAGCATAAGTATCAGTCATAAAAGTGCTTAATTATCAATACTCAATCTTTGGAGCTATCCTAGAAACAGGCATTGTTGTGGGAGTTCATTAGCTTTTTTTGAGAGCGTGCACTCACCCTGAAGGGTATGTCCTCTCTTTCCTTGGTACGTTAAATTCACATTAAACTTAAAGGGAGCCACGTGTGTGTAATCAACTGGCATATAGCCCAGGGCACGCACTCTCTATCACCAGCCTCCATTATCTGCATTAAGTGACCAGAGGATAAATTAAGCCTCATGTGAGCACTACCCTGATCTTTCCTGCAGTTTTGAAAAAATGTGTTTATCTAGAACTCTGTGTCAGATCGTGCAGCTCCCCAAGAAGCTGTTGAGATGCTGTGTGGCAGTGCAGAGCTGGAACTGAAGAAACCTCGGTGGAAGAATACAGGTCATAGAATCAGGCAAAAACTCTATACCAAAGGAAAGCATAGGCTCATGTAAATTTGAAGCAAGTTCTTCATGGGGTTGTTAGCAGGGATAAAATCTAGTATTTTCAGAGCCCAGATAGTGTTTTAGCACTTCATCTGAAGGAGTATTTTAATTAACATGCAGTTATAGTACTCTCTTACTTCTTGTGCCTGGGCCACTGCAGAGGTACAGCTTTGTTTTAGCCAGTGGGTTTGACCCACTGGAGAGTAAGAGGTGAGGAAGGGCAGTCTAGGTAGAACATATTGATCATGGGTGCTCCTTGTGTATACCTAAAGAGGTTTAAACATCAATGCCATGCTCCAGTAAAGAGTGTAAATTGTAGTACATAAATTGTTGCAGAGCCTTGCCATTTTTTAATGTAGAGTGTGACCTGTTGTTCCAGAGTCATCCTAGAGGTCCTCTCTCTGAAAGCCGTCTTCAGCCCAAGTGGCATATAGGGCAGGAATGGCTCTAGAATGAAGCAGTAATTGTACAGGAGGGAGGTTAAACTTCCAGCTTCAAAGAATTGTTCAATATTTTCAGTCACTTCAGAAAATATGCCCATGTGGCAAGTGGAAGACAAGACTCTCTACCTAAAAGTCTCCATCTCTAAACATTTTTGCATGCTAACTTCTCGTCTTCTAGCAAATCACTCACTACAAGTGGCAAACGTTCTGAAGAGCAAGCTATGTTTTAGATTTCACCTAGGCATTTAATTTGCACAGAAATAGCTGAGTAGTCCTTTAATTATCCTATAGTTCTGTTGAAGATAGACAAGAGCTATAGCTCACACTCTCTCAGTTACGCTGGTGTAGCAAGAATAACAAGTAGCTAGAAAAAAAAGCATTTTTGTTATTGAAGTCAGGACACGCATGTCCGAATTCACACAGGGAACAGATGTCATAAGTAAGAAGATACCATTTATCCACAGTCACCGTTGGGGGTTGAACCAAGAGAAAGTTGCGCAGTTGCCTGCAATGAAGAAAAGTTTCTCTTAATGTGCTGTTTCTTTTACAACTAAGACAAGGCTTTTACATCCTTAAAACACCTACTTTTCTCCCATCAGCCATTGTTTTAATTAAAGAGGAGGAATACCACAACAAACATCTTATGCAGAAGATACAGAGCTATTTTGAAGCGCTTCCAAGTGCTCCTCTTGAGACCCCATCTCTCTCAGAGAGTGGATCTCCAGTCTGAACTACCCTTCTCTGTGAACAGGTAAGTTTGTATGCTTTTATTGCCTTTTCATGTTGGGGAGGTTTGTGGCTTGTATTTAATTAGCATATCTTATGCTGACACTCTTGAAAATGAAAAAAAAGGTTTGTTGAAAGCAAACTATTAGAGAAATTCAGAATGCTGAGGAATAAGAAAGAGAAAGATCATCAAACAGCAAATTGCTGGTTATTCTCACAAAGAAAAAGAAGCTGTCTGCTATTCTTTCTTCCTTTTTTTTAATTAGACTTAGCAGCTTCTCTTCATACTGACCATGACAGAGTTCTGCTTACAGCCTTACTTTTCTTAAACTCAGTAACATGATGTTTTTTGAAGACCCAATTTCGCAAGAATAAAGCAATCTTAGTCTTACTGTACATAACTTCTCATTTGATATGTTTCTGGACAATGTTTATCTCATACCTAAAGAAAGAAATACAACTCTTTTAAAGTGATTTTGTCAAAGTTATACTCAGTGTTTGGGTTTGCAGATGTTTAAGATTAAGCAACTTTTTTGTTTCAATTCACAAGTGGGAATAAGAAGCTTTGAACTTTAAACTTGATTATTGTGACATGCCAGTTATGTTGTTATTTTCACTTTTTCTGATACAATTCGGTCAGGAGACAGCATAAAATGAAGTAATAATAAAAATATTGGTCTGGTTCTGTAACTTTTTGTTTGAATGAGTAATAGCACTGAGACTGTAGGGACTGCTGCTCCTACAGGTAGAAGAACAGTGATGGGAACATTTTGTTTCTGGTAGATTTAATTAATTAATTAAGAAAAAGAAATATGTATAAAAATTCAGTGTTGCTGGACTTTTCAAGAGGCACAGCAACTAAACAAACAGTTGAATGATCTAACAGCAGCAGGAGACCTGCTAATGCAAATACTTAGTGGTGTGACTCATAAAAAAACAAGCTGAAAGAAAACATTAACCAGCTTGCCCTTTCTCCCTCCCTCCTTCCCTCCTATCTGCTTCCCTCTCCCCCCATCCTCTATCTTATAAACACAAGCAGATCAACACCACAGAATTTTTCCCTACTTTCACATGATATATCTGAAAGAATTGGTAAGGAAGACAAAAGTGTGATGTCATTCCATTTTAAATTGTAAACCAATCTATGTCAGTCTCCCTCTTGCTGAATCCTCAAAAGAGGTCTAAAGAGCTTTTCTATTTGTCTTACTGCATTTGTTAGTCACTATCTTGCTGGATAGGGCTAATCCAAACACGGAGAACAATCCTGGAGTAAAAAAAGCCATCAAGTCTAAGACTTCAAATCTAGTGGTGCTGCAAAAACTACTTGGAGGCTTTAGAACCTAATTTTCAGAACTGTAACTATCAGACATAACTGTATAATCCCAGCCTTCAACAATCGTAATCCATCTGTGGGATTTCATATGAATTAATGTTATCCTTTGGTTCTGTACTTTCTTTCTCTCTGTGTTTGTTTCAGTGGATACTGTTAAAAGTTGGGTGTACTGTGATGTGTTTGGAGTTTCCTCTGCAGTTGTCTGTGGCTTTATTAGTCTAAATTTTCTTTCCAGGAAGCTGCAGTCACATGAGTTTAACCAACATACCTCTCACATTGCAAACGGGTCCCATTAGTAAAGCATCACATTTGAGCCAATGTGAGGTTCAAATTATTAGAATTGAGAAGTATTTATTGATTGTGGTTGCCATATACAATTATCATTCAGGGAGAAGAACATTGTCTTAAGGGGCTCCCTAAAGCACAGGTTTTACTTCTTTAGAGAAATTACCAACTGTCAATGCTTACACTACCCTGTGAACATCAGTGGAGATTGTGCATATTGCAACTCCAAGTGCACCATAAAGACTGCAGAATTAAGATGCTGCTGAGATAATTCCAGCATCTTCTTTTTTTTTATATAGGATGTAAAAAAATCTGCATTCTCACTCATCACCAAGCTAAACTGATGGGTACTTAGAAATGTACTTACATCTGCTCATTTTTCTCCAGACTACATCTTAATGGCACAGTTATAAGTTACTTTTGTTTTTTGCTGAAATTTAAAAAGTAAAATCTATCCTTACTGTTTCTCATCTAATATATAAATAGCCTGATTTGTTTCTTGGAAACCTTAATTCTCACTGAAATAAACTGGTAGAGGAACAAGTTTCTAAAATACCTGTTTCCAGCCACTGGGAGGAAGTCTATCTTACTAATATATTTATCGTTAATCTTCAGTAATGATGCAGAAACTCAAACCAGCAGGAAGGATAAAAATATAAAGGCAAGCCTTAAATAACTTGTTGACAGAGAAGATTTAGAAGTAAATTTAACCTCAGTCTCAGCTACAGTGACCACCTGCCACTCTGGTTTTGCATGGAATTTTATTCTCTGCTTTTTACTGGTTCCTCAAACATCTGCAGAGCAGACACTGTGCCTTGAGCCTTCATAGGAAGCTACAGAGCTGAATGCAGCACCATAAGAGAAGGCAGGATGTGGGAGTGGTGCAAGAAGTCTGTTCTCTAAGCCTGTTTGAGGGTACACCATCAGTACCTTCAGCTCTTGATATGGACTTTGTAGGCAGGTCTGGTTGATTCTACAGGTCCTGAAGTCATGGAGCTAATTAGGCTAATTAGTGATGTAGTACCTCAGCCTGGATTAATCCATCCACCAGCCATATGGAGCACTGCAGGAATTCTCTGCCTGGAGTGACACTCAAGGTAGAAATGTTCAGTCTGATAAAGGAGAGTATCTTGAGGCCGT